CTCAAAAAAAAAAAAAAAAAAGGTGGAAAAACCACATTGTTGTATCTGTTGTGCTATTGATTGGGGGCTGAAGTAGGGTTTTTTGTGGTGGTGGGGGGTTAATTGAGCTAATTAAGTGTTCTGTCAATATTTCCCCATTTATTCCCCCCCCCCCCCCGCTGTGCTAAATCATGGTGTTCGCTCTTTCTTTTTTATTGCAATTTAATTCCCCCCCCCTTTTTGGTTGAGTAAATCAAGATAAAGTTTTGAGTTTTACAAATTAGAATGGAATGACTGTTGTAATTTTTTTCAAAAAAGTAAAAAACCTCCCCAAAGTATATTAGTCTTCAGCTGTTCCATTTTGTTCGCAAATTGAAGGTATTGTAGCTTGTAAGTATTATACTTTAATAGATTCTCAGTTGTTGTCATAAAACATCTTTCTTGAAAAGGCATTTATACAAAACAGCCAATGATGGCGATAAAAATAATCCTTTATGATTCCATTCTTCATCCCTGATGGGCTTTGAAAATTGATTTCACAAGAAAGTAGCAGGCACCGTGAACACAACAGCACTGGCTTGCTTGCCTTTGGACTTTTTTATTTTTTATTCTTCTCCCACTGAAGATATTTTTCACTGTCATAATGCAGCATTGGTGGAAGCGCGAAGTCAAATAAATGGATTTCCAATTACTGTATTTGGTTGCTAGCAGAATGGGATAGATTTTAAATCATTTATAACGATCGTTCAGATATACCACTGTCAGCTCTCTTTTCCTTTTCTGGCTCTACAGTGAAACCTGGATCTTTTAAAGCAAAAACTGTCCATCAAGCTCCTTTGTGATAGATACTGGATCATGGGTGTGTTGGTGGTGGTGACTGTGCATTTGCAACTGACCAAAAACAGAAGAGATTCTTACAGGTTATGAGCACAGTACTCCTCTTGTTCTGTTCTGGCCCAGTAAACTGTACTCATTCCTTAAGCAGAACTCATCCTCCAGATTCTCCAGCCTCCCCCTATTCCCTTGGCCTAGGAGAAACCATGCTCTGCCAGGGAGCTGTAAAACCCCTCTCAGTAAATGTCTGTGGATCCTGAATTATCTAGGCAAAGTTCAGCAGACAATAGAACACCTGAGGTTTTCTTTAATCTTGACTCTGGTGTCCAGAATGCCTGGAGCAAAATCCAACAGTGACAGCCACAGTTCAGTGGTGGATAATCTGCTTTGCATACAGAAGCATCTCAAGGTAGGACTGGGAGAGACTCCTGCCTGAAATGCTGGAGAGCTGCTGCCAGTCAGTGTAGACAGTATTGAACTAAATGGACCAGTGGTCTGACTTGGGAGAAGGCAGCTTTTTATAGGCTTTAGGGGCCAGCCACACTGCAGCCACAGAAGGCAAGGTGTATGGGGTTGAGCCTATCCCTGCCCCCAAATGGGCATGGTTGATGTGCCAGCCATAGTTGGTAAAAGCCACTCCTAGTTGCTGAGGCTGCCTGAGCTTCTACTGAGAAAGACAAATCCAGGAACACCCCCAAACACTTAAACCTGTTCCTTCAGATGGAGTGCAACCCTCTATAAGTAGAAAAGCAGAGCTGGTCCAGGAGAATATCATGCTGTTATCTATGGTATCAAAAGCCACAAAGAGAAGCAGAAGCAGAGCGCTGTGGGTTAAACCACAAAGCCTAGGACTTGCCAATCAGAAGGTTGGCAGTTCGAATCCCTGCAACGGGGTGAGCTCCCATTGCTCGGTCCCTGCTCCTGCCAACCTAGCAGTTCGAAAGCACGTCATAGTGCAAGTAGATAAATAGGTACCACTCCGGCGGGAAGGTAAACGGCGTTTCCGTGTGCTGTTCTGGTTCACCAGAAGCGGCTTAGTCATGCTGGCCACATGACCCAGAAGCTGTATGCTGGCTCCCTCGGCCAATAAAGCAAGATGAGCACCACAACCCCAGAGTCGGCCACGACTGGACCTAATGGTCAGGGGTCCCTTTACCTTTACCTTTGATACAAGTTATCTATCCATCAAGGTGATTGAGACTGATTGAATTCCAGATCTGCACCTGAACCCAGACTGAGATGGGTTCAAGTAATTTGTAACCTCCAGGAATTCCTGCAACTGCTTGGCCACCACCCTCTCAACCACCTTACCCCAAAATGGGGTATTTGCGTCCAGGTGGCAGGTTTTTTAAAATAAATCATAGGATACAGGATGGGTTTCTTTAGGAGATGGTACAGTACCTTCTGTTTAAAGGCAGGAGGCACCACTCAATTACATAAAGACCATCCACCACACCGTGGGCCCATCCCATCAATTCCTCCCAGCTGGCTTTCACCAGCCAAGATGGACAGGGCTCAGGAGAACAAGAAGGCAGTTGCATCATTATTCTTACCACCCACTCAACTTCTGTGTTCTAAATTACTCTCTTTATGAAACACAACTCCCAGCTCAGTTGGTTAGAGCATGGTGACGATAACGCCAATGCTGCAGGTTCATTCCCCATGTGGGACAACTGCATATTCCTGCATTGCAGGGGATTGGACGATCACTAAATGATCCTTGGGGTCCCTTCCAATTCTATAATTCTATGAATTCCTGGTCGGAACAAATTTTCTTTTTTAGAAGAAAGAATTGGGGGCTTTGTAGCACATGTTTCCCAGTCATGTGTAGTTTGCCCTTAAGAGTCCTGTCAAAACAGGAATCCTTTTTTCAACCACCATTGCTTTTCTAGCCCATCTGCTTTTCCTTCTAACACATTTTTTTTTTAAATCTGAGGTATGGATTTTTATGTTATTTCCCCTTCTTTCAAGGAGAGTTGACCCCCCCCCCCCAAGCTACTAAGGTAGCAATTGTCCCATGCCTACCCAGAAAATTTCCTAACTGAGCATGAGATTGATCTGGGTTTCTGACATCCAAACCAAGCTCTCTAGCCAATACACTGCATTAGCTCTCTATTAAGAAGCAAGCCAAACTATATGTGCAACTATATGTAATGAAGCCCTAGGGATGGTTTTTTCCCCTTTTAAATGAAAAAAAAAATTGAGCAGAGGAGTGGTCGAAAGTAGAGGTGCTTGATACTTTCCCAGATTGGTTGTTTTCAGATCAAAATCACCCCCTAAACTGTCCCCCCCGTGGTGTTCCAGGTGTTTGTTTGCTATTGTGAATATGCATCTGGAATTTCAGGAGATAAAAAGCTGGCAAGAGGTGACTTGTGTGGGGAAATGGCCTATGAGGCAAGGACTAAGCACCCATTCCCTTTGCTGGTGCTACTCTCAAAAGTGCAGTCCATGCAGGCTGATTTTCATTAAAAACTGTTGTAGGATCTTCATCGCATGCACTTGTGTTTGATGCTTAGATTATTTCATCAGTGAAAGAACATGAGAAATCCAAGTGTCCTGTGCTTAGGAATAATCCTTTCTCTGGGGATATTCTTATCACAGGGAGGCATGTTTTTGCCATTTTTTGCCCATTAAATAAACTCCGAGGATATGGATAATCTTTTTAAAAGTAGCATAGCAGCTACCGCATGAGGGATGCTGCAGTAATATGAGCAGTAGTAATCCGAGAGCAGCAGAGAATGGTATGAAATGAATCAATATGATCTGAGGATGGAGATCTTTTGTGCAATAATAGATCTAGTACAGTTAAAGAGGCCACAATAAAATACGTGACTTAACTTGGGCAATTCTGTGTAATTAGAAATGATCATAGACAACTTTCAAAACCACATATTCTGACATACAGATGGATGTATAAAGAACACTTAATTTCTATAAAGCATAGACTGCATTACAGCATGGAAGAAGAATGGGGAACTGGCTCCTGTATCAGGTAAAATAGAAGCCATCCTTTTCAGATGTGGTTGCTGATATTGCCTTCATATGTGGATAATAGCTTGCCTATGTATATGTGTGCAAGAACTGATTGCAAAATAATGATCAAACATAATTAGTTGCATGCTTCTGGTAGGGTCTGTCTTCATTTTAGCCGTGGTTTCAATTCAAACTGCTTGGTGCCACTGGAGCAAGGAGTGCCCCCTCACCCATCAGCTGGTGGGTGGGCTTGGAAGATTGTGTTGTTCCAGAAAAGGAACAATTAGGAGCTCCCGATGTTCCTCTGTAGCCACGTCAGTAACTGTGCCACACTGCATATCACGTATGATGTCAGGAGGGTATGATGTCAGGTGGGTATAGTTTAGATAAAACAGACTCAGGGATTGAAATGGGAGAGGTCTGGTGGGTCAAAATTGGGCTATGGGCCAGAGTTTCTCCACCTGTAAGTATGGCGAGTCTCACGAGAAGTGTGTGCACTATATCATTCAATCACCTGGAGTTCCTGTGTAGGCTTCTGCATCATTGAAATGAGAGCTATTCTATCTCAGTGTTGTGTCAGCGTTTAAAGATGAGGAATGAAAGGAGGAGCACCCCAAACAGTTTGCAACAGAGTTTGGAGAGAAAGGACAGAAAGTGGTTCCCCCCGAAGGTGAATTCAGTTTGACATACGTTGGACTCAATAATAATATAAAAACTTCCCTGCATCTGGAGGTCTCTCCCTCCCTCCTTCCTTTCAGCATCTACAAAGAGCCTGTGGTCCATGCACTTGGGTGAATGGAAAACCATCCACTGCTACCATTAGAACGCTCATCTGTGCCCACACCTAATTAACCACTGTGTGTGAATTCTTAGGAAATTAATAAACTGCACAGAACAATTTGCCTCAATGATACTCAACTGACCAGTATCAATATGTGTAGAAAAATCTACAATGGAACATCTCAAATACAAGCATATCCATACACACTGGGGAGGATATTTATAACATTTTGGCTCCTAATTAAAAAAACCCAAAAACTAACTTTGAGGATTTTTTAACAGTAGTGGGATGAGTTGCCTAAGGCTGTGTGTAGAATGCAGCTTCCCTGTGGCTGATTTAGTGATGGTCGTACTAAAGCACAAGTAGGAGGAAAGGCACACTGAGAAAGAGATATCAACTAGAGTGATAGCTTAAAGTCTTTTTTTTTTTCTTTACTCTGTCATCCATGCTAATCCTGCTTTGGGTTAACAGCAATTGGTGCAGTTCCCGATGTGATTTGCAAGTGTCAGGCATGCTGATTCACCATGCCTACTGCTCGGAAAAAACTCTTGTCAGGAAACACCCCAGAGACCCACTGGCAGCCCATCAGCCAGGAGGGCAAAGGGGCCAGGGCAGCTGAAAGATCTGGTGAATGCCTCCCCTTCAGCATTTGCAGAAATACTGAAGGTCACATCTGCCAGCCCAGAATACATTTTCCTCTGGGCAATGGAGAATGTGAAAAGGTTTGCTGATTATGCCGCAGCAGATAGTCAAGCAATTAGAACTGTTCGAAGCTGACAAGGCAACAGGTCCAGATGAATTACATCTCAAGAAGTGATAGTTGGAAAGCAGCAAGTGAAACTGAAATCCACTGGCAGAATTTTCTAATCACTCTCCCAAGTACAAGGTTGCTCAGGAGCATTGGGAGGGAAACTGGCTGGGGAAGAAATAGGATAAATGTAGTCTCAATAGTTACTTAAGATACAAGATACAGTAAATTCTAGTCATTGAATGCCTGGCTGATCAACTGTAGGCAACAGTTCAGAAATAATTGGTCATGATTCATGCCAAGTTCATCTGATGATAATGATTATTAAGATAATTGAGGTTTACCCCGTTCTATTTTAATGGATTCCTGATTCACAGTAGGTGTGCTTAGCTTTGCTGGAGACTCACCCAACTTCACAGTGTTCCCTGCTTTATCATGCTTTTGTTCCATTTCTCACTTCTTGGCCCCAGTCACCATCACTCCTTGCTTGTATGCTCCAATGGGTCTTCTCTCTATCCTCTTTTTAAAAGTACCATGCATATGTGCATCTTGAAGCAACATTGGCCAGATGTGGACATGCTTGAATGTTGACCAGTGCTCCCAACATATCCACAAAGCCACTAAGTGAAACCACTGTGTTGAAAAAATACCCAGTCTGCTCCATCTTCCATTATTGGGAAAACCGTGCTTATATTTCTGAAGCAATGCTTGGAAACAGTGCTTAAATGAATGAAGGACAAGGAGCCAAGGTTGAATCTAGGCAAGCCAGAAATTATGTTGCAGGGTTAGCTGGATGTTCTTGGGAAGAGGGGTTGCTCTTGATGGGGCTATAGTGGCCACAATAGATTTGGTGCATGTTCTGGATGTGTCCTGGGGCTCCAATTTGCCCCTTGCTAGCAGCTAATGTTACAGCTAATGCTATATTCTGTTCTGGTACTGAGGAAGAGGAGCGTGGGGCAAGGCAAGCAAGGTTGGCTGTCACAGCACCAAGGACAGCTCCTAATGAGCAACTCACTGTGAAGAAGGTGAATGTGAACCAGTACACATCTGTTATGTTCTGCCTCCTTTGCTGGATCATTAGAGACCAGCTCTTTGGCCTAAGGATGAGCAAATCTCCTGCACTCCTTAGCCATCCACATGGTTTGCTCCCTGCATTGCTGAACTGGGGAGGTGTAGAAGACACTCAGTTTCTTGAGTGTGGGAAAAGATGCCTGAGAAAGTTCTGATTGTGCTTCAGTGTGCCTGCTTTTCTTCAGTAGGCTTTTGCCAGCCAGTCTTGAGTTCACCAGCAGTAAGTTTAGAGCCACGGATGTGTCTCAGTTCCTGAACAATCTGACATGGTGTCCTGGACACTGATGGACTTTGAGGGTCAGGATGAGCAGTAGGCTTGAAATAGTTCAGCAGGCATTAGCGGTGGACCCTCACAGGAGCAGCCCAAATATGTTATGTGTTGATGCTGCCTCATAAAAGCCTCACATAAGTGAAGATAAAACACTCTTGTGGTGGAATCCTAACTCCCTCCCCCTTGCTTGTGAGGTATGGTGGCTAGACAAGGTGACCAGCATAACTGGAGCTTTGCTACTCATGGTGGCCATATAAGAAGGATGATAGGGCTTGACTCAAGCCCAATGCATTGAGACTGGCTCAGGATCCAGCCTATCCTGGGTTGGTTCAGCCTTGCCTCTCTCTTGGAATATTCTGTATCAAGGCTTTCCGCTGACCTCTGCTGGCAGAGATAGCTGCCAGTGGATATGCTGCCCACACATTCAGTGGCCAGCAGAGCCCAGCAAACCAGAGAATCTGACCAGAGAGACTCCTCTGGCTAATCCACCACAACCCACAGTATAGTGTGTGAGGGGGCTGGATTACCCTGCCCCATGTATCCACACACACCCTTGGCTTCTGTTCTTTATATGAAACCTGCAATGCAGGACATCGAAGCAGTAAATCTCCTTCTCTGAAGTACAGCTGGAATATTGTCCTTGTGATGCCCTCTGGTGACAGGAGGTTATTTCATGACACATGGCCTTTTTATTTTTGTAGGCAACAACATTTAATGTGTTTTTTCTTTGGTCGGGCTGTCAAAAAAGAACCTACGCTTTAAAAATACTGAACTGTTAAAAAAATGTGGAACAAACCAAGCTCTCTACAGGAGAGTTAACACATCCAAGAGAGAGCACTGTGGTTATGTCTCTCTATGACACTTAGGGTACCCATAGTGAATGGGTATATATACATTTACCATAACTATTTCACAAAGCAATCCCTGTGATGGTTCTGCTTATCCCTCCATTGTGCACTGCCTTCAGTCTTCCAGTTCATGAGGACTACAAGCATTTCCATTTGAAGTGAAGGCTAAGCTTTGCAGAGGAGTGCTGTGTAGGTCAGGAATGGCTGGGAAATGCTGAAGGCTACATGTGAACAAGAGTTGATAACAGGCTCATTGTTCCAGACCTTTCGTTTACTGTAACTTGAACTGAATCAATTTGCCACTGAAATTAGTGGCATGAGAAATATGAAAAGTGATGAGGTAGGGTAACCTCATTGAAATTATTCACATAGAAGAATCCATCTTGTCAGGTCAGGAAGCTAACTGTGGTGAAGAGCATCTTGAAAAATGACAAGGCACTCCATCACCGTGTATGACATGCATTGTGCTGGTTTCCCCACACACCTCTCTGCATTTCTCTGCATTATTGGCATCATAAAACAGTAGTTAGAAACTATAGCTCTCAGGATGGGATGTCAAGATCTCTTATCAATAGTTACCAGTAAAATGACAAGAGATCTAATTTGGTGTGTTATACATAATAAGAAATTTAAAAAATGCCTGTTGCTGTGGGTGCAGTAACCAGAAGACCTGCTGCTCAGTTCTTAGAGACACACTCTCACACCTTATGTAGGGGCAATTCCAAAATCGTATTGCACCAATGCAGAGTGTTGGTACAGGATGCGAGAATGGAACACCCTGAAAATCCCAGTAGCCACTTAAACATACACAAGTTCGTAGGCCTTAAGTGGGCAGTGCTGGTTGTATATGCATTGTACACTATCAAAGAGCTTTGTGGAGATCGGTTTCAAAGTGTGCATGCAATCATTGTCCATTGAGGTCTCAGAAGGAAGGGGCTCAGCAGGATATTTTTCAGTGATCATCAGGGGGCTGGGTTTAACTTATACATTATGCTAGAGTTCCGTACATTGTAGTGCAAAATTTGAATCTGGTGCATAATTTTAAGTTTTTTCAAAAATGAGTGTCCATATTCAGTCATGAGTAATATGAATGAACAGGTGGCATTTTGACGCTTGATACAACACTAGTAAAACAGCATGTGGAATATTAACCAAATAAACAATGACTATAAGTTGCTAATAAGTTGAGCATAAAGCAATGAATGTTGCTGTGATCAAAATAAACTAGTTTTTAGGGATGCTTTTATGCAAGACAATGTTTATCTTGATCCAAACTGCCTTAAAGCAGTCCCTAGCTAATCTGTTCCACTGGTCAATCCTAGCCTATCTGTGGTGTTGACAGTTTCTTTTAGATTTTTATTTGCTAACTACAGGCAAACCTATGTGCTTTGAGTTTTAGTGCAGCTTCAGTTTGGTGTGACGCTGGCCACTTTCAGGTTCTACGTTAGATGATGTGGAGGAAGTGAGTGCTGCCAACAGAGGCTCACAGCTGAGCTGCCTAGAAGCTGCTCCATGCCCCACAATCTGTGTCATTTAGCATTTTGCTGCAGATCTTCCACCTCTTCTGCTCTGTTTCAAGCTGATTCCTTTAGAGCTGTCAGAAGTTGCTTGAAGGTACAAGAGCTGATAAGTTTCTGCAGCAGGCTTTGGAATTAAGGTTAAATGCATGCTTGAAATGCAAAAGAAAGAGTGGTAATGATTTCCAGAATATAGTCTTCTGTGTGAAATAAAAAGCAGTCCCCACTAACCCTAATCTGGTCCTGGCTAAAGTGTGGCAACCTATGCCTCCCAGCCTTAACCTTCCATCCTTACTGAAATAAGGCTTAATGAATTGTTTGTTTTTGTTTAGTTGACGAGGGAAGCAGTGAACACATACATGATCAAGGTTTATAAAGTCATTAATGATGGGAATACTCTGAATCACTCAAAATACTATGTGTGGATTCAAACTGCTGCTTACTATGCAGTTGCCTCTAGAAAGCTTGCCATGTGATGGCTTCTATGTGGACTCTCTGCAAAACACTGGCAGAAAAGTAAACTGAGAAACACAGGGCAGCGACAGAGGGTGGAGGGCATGGCAATGCTGTAGGAGCTCCAACCAACCTGATCTTCATATGCTTAGAGCTCCCACAGCTATCATCAGTAATTGTCCTACAATATATTATCATAATATTTAATTCAGCAGCTGTAATGTGTGAAATGTCAGTCTGTTCACTGTGTCGTTTCTTAGTGTTGATGTACATGCATTCATTTTCATGCACACCTAGGGACCTAATGCTTCCAACCTCTCACTGTGAGAGGTGTAGAAACATAGGAAGTTGCCTTATACCAAGTCAGACTATTGTTGCATCTGGTTCAGTACAGTACTGCATTAGCTGCACTGACTGACAGCAGCCCCACTTACGCTCTAATGGCTATGTATAATTTTTCATTTATGTCAGATGCCTTTGCACTGGCATCAACATGGTGCAGGTAGCTTCGTTGCCACATCCATAAAACCTGACACTGCTGCATTTACCTGAACCTTTTAAAGCTTTATTTTTTAAAGACAAGAAACGAAAAGGCACCTTTAAATTGTAAAAAGGAAAACAATTGCTTATTAGGAGGGGGGAAGCTTAACATTGCTGTTTTGGCCAGGTGTCTTCTGTGAACCGCGGGGAAATGTGCTTAATTCTTTTAAACTACATTTAATTGCATTTCATGCTGTTTCTTCCCTTCTACCTGGAGGTGCTATGACTCAAAGTGCTTTCTCCCTTGTACCTTTGAAACTGAAAAGTGGACAAAAATATCCCACATGAAATATTTGTGTGGTATTCCAGTTGTGAAGCAGAGTTGCATATAACACAAAGCTACACTTGCAATTTCCTGCCCAGCTTCTAGTGAAGGGTAGCTCAGTGGGTACAGCATGAGGCTCTTAATCTGAGGGTTGTGGGTTTGAGCCTCATGTTGGGCAAAAGAATCCTGCGTTGCGGGAGGTTGGACCAGACAAACCACATGGTTCCTTCCAAATTTACAGTTCTATGATTCTTTGATTAAAAGTTTCTCTGGACTTTTAGGAGGGTCATGTGGTACAGCACTCAGAGATGTGTATGTGTAGGGTGTGCATGTCACATGTTTTAATTTTTCCCCATGTCAGAAGACCCCTGTCTTCACAAAGCTAGTCTGAAGAGGTGAGTTCTATCCTATTCTAATCCCTGGCATGCAATGTGCCCAGTTCCTGGAGGTGTCTGATCTAGCCATGCTGATACAATGAGTTGCATCCCCCTTGGATTACAGTGGTACCTCGGGTTAAGAACTTAATTCGTTCTGGAGGTCTGTTCTTAACCTGAAACTGTTCTTAACCTGAAGCACCACTTTAGCTAATGGGGCCTCCTGCTGCCGCCACTGCACGATTTCTGTTCTCATCCTGAAGCAAAGTTCTTAACCCGAGGTACTATTTCTGGGTTAGCGGAGTCTGTAACCTGAAGCGTCTGTACCCCAGGTACCACTGTACTGTAACATGCTCTATGTGGGGCTGCCTTTGAAAAGTTGCTGACCAGAGCCAGTTACAGGGAGAAGAGAAAAAGCAGTTAGCAGTTAGGAGCTGCTGAAAACTATAAAAGGAGAAACTGGCATTTAAACTTGCCTACTTTCAAAACATCACAACAGCTGGGTAATACCATTATAAAACTCTCACTGTGGGTCCCTCCCGCTGTACCCACCCTTTCTCCTTCTGCTGGTTGACATTCCGGAACCTTTTGTGTCGTATTCATCAACTCTGTGACATTCTGTTACATTACCGTAGCCCCAAATGCACAGAATAACTCAGTGCAGAAAGTGGGCTGCTGCTGCTGCTGCTGCTGCTGCTGCTGCTGCTGCTGCTGCTTCTTCTTCTTCTTCTTCTTCTTCTTCTTCTTCTTCTTCTTCTTCTTCTTCTGTGCTAATTGTGGCTTTCTTAGAAGAACAACTTTAACAGGAGGGGGAGGAGAAGGGATTATATCCTAAACCTTGAGGCTTAGATTAGTAAATTCCACATTGACATCAGGGATTCCACTGCAGTAGGAACACTAAGGCCAATACAAACATCTGGCACAATTGCCAAGCACCTGATCCGTAGCAGAAAATACCAATCAAGGGAAGAAAAGAAAATCATTGCTGCAGCAGTTACCACTTCCACCCCCTGCATTGTAAAGTGCCTTGCAATTTCTGATCTTGTTTATGCAATTGCATATGCACTATATGTAATTTCTCTTGTTAAGATCTAGTTTCCCATGCCATATATTCTGGCTGTGTTGAGCTAGAGGTTAATAAGAAGCATGATCCTTTATTGGCAGGGAAGTAGATTGGATAACGTCACTCCCCACAACCATCAAATTTGAGACACAATTTACAGGTTGTAGGGTAGGCAGAGAAAAGTGGAGAAGGGGAGGACAGGCTACCCCCCCCCCCCGTTAGAATGAAATTAAAGAATTATATTTAGGTTATAATGCAGACTCCCAAGGTCTACAGCATGATGAGTATTGTACACAGTGCACTAGAAGAATAATTATGTTGACAATAGTCCCAAGCTAATTCAAACTCTGTTGCATAGGGTCCTTTTTATTATTTTATTTTTACATTTATTCCAAGAATGCTGTCATTGGTGATTCTTAACTGGCAAGAGCACAAAATGGTTCAATAAATGCAATAAACTCAGATTTAAGATACTGAATTTCTCAAGGGAGGAAAAAGTTTTAATTTCCATGTACAGTATGCTAAAGCCGAGGCTTGTTTAGAATGGGAATTAATAACTAGCAGCTGGATTACTCTTCCTAGAACATATTGAATGAGATAAGACATCAAAAGAATATCAGATTGAGCACAGATGAGTTTATATTTCATAACTAATAAGTCTAATGGATGTCTGCAACGAAATTGGACTGAAATGCCCAGATAAGTGTGAAACCAAAGTTTTTGTTCTTAGTAAACAATGCTGTAAATATTTTTATCTCAGCCTTTTCACTGCCCAAAATAGATATGGGTTTCAATTATGTGCTCTAACATTTTCATCATGGTATTTTCATTATAGAATCAGAGGCTTGGAGTCAGCTAAACTTTATCAAAGCCCCCCCCCCCGCCTTCTCAGTTAAATGGACCATGTATCCATCAGTCTGCCACAAATTTACATACACACACACACACACATTTCAGAGCACATCATGGTTCTCTCCCCAACTCTCCCCCTATTCACCTCCTAAATCTGTATGGGGGCAGGAAAGGGGGAAATTCCTGTTGCACAAGTCGTGTCAGTTGCACATGTCGTGCCAGTTGTGCAGTGTGATACATAGCACCACTGGTGAGTTACTATGCAAGACATTTGGTTCCTCGGGCTCAGGGGAAGGCATTTGTGGGGGTCTTGGCTCCCACTCTATGGTCCTTGGTGCTGTGGTTTCTGGTTCAGAGAGTGTCTGCCATCCAGCCTTCAGTTCAGTGGTTTACTCACACCAGCATCAGGCTGGGAAACGTAACCATTGTCTCTAGTGAAACCCAATGAATAGAACTGAACTTCTTGTTGAATTGTAAAATGTTTTAGTTAGTTACTTTATTTCTTGAGCATTTATTTGCTCAACAATGTTTTTGAACCATGTCCCTAGAATAGAATTTGACATAATCCCTTGTGGGTTTCGCCCCCCCCCCATATGGTTTGATTGGGGTAAAAATAGCCTTCCCTTAAAAGGGGGGGGGAGTGTCTCTTTGTTCATGGTCTCCAGGCATTTGAGACTGCAATCGTAAATGCACCGGCTAGGGAGTAACACTCACTGCATATAGTAGGGCTACCTCTGAGTTGCTCTGAAAATGAAGATGAAGCTCTCTCTCAATAAGATGTGGTGTGTATGTGCATTGCAAGAATCCCTGCAAAAAATAGAACCTCATCATTATAAATAGGTTAGAAGTTTGAATCCACTCTCTTAAGTAGGTCACTTTCACTGGCCCTTTAAATATTGAAATAGTGCTTACAATGCTTGTACATTGCCACTAGGTGTCACTATGATGTTTTAGTTTGGTTCCTTAGCTCAGCTAGTGGTTGTTGTTTAGTCATTTAGTAGTGTCCGACTCTTTGTGACCCCATGGACCAGAGCACACCAGGCACTCCTGTCTTCCACTGCCTCCCGCAGTTTGGTCAGACTCATGTTGGTAGCTTCGAGAACACTGTCCAACCATCTCATCCTCTGTCGTCCCCTTCTCCTTGTGCCCTCCATCTTTCCCAACATCAGGGTCTTTTCCAGGGAGTCTTCTCTTCTCATGAGGTGGCAAAAGTACTGGAGCCTCAGCTTCACAATCTGTCCTTCCAGTGAGCACTCAGGGCTGATTTCCTTAAGAATGGATGCGTTTGATCTTCTTGCAGTCCATGGGACTCACAAGAGTCTCCTCTAGTACCATAATTCAAAAGCATCAATTCTTCAGTGATCAGCCTTCTTTATGGTCCAGCTCTCACTTCCATACATCACTACTGGGAAAACCATAGCTTTAACTATACGGACCTTTGTAGGCAAGCTGATGTCTCTGCTTTTTAAGATGCTGTCTAGGTTTGTCATTGCTTTTCTCCCAAGAAGCAGGCGTCTTTTAATTTCGTGACTGCTGTCACCATCTGCAGTGATCATGGAACCCAAGAAAGTAAAATCTCTCGCTGCTTCCATTTCTCCCACTTCTGTTTGCCAGGAGGTGATGGAACCAGTGGCCATGATCTTAGTACCTCGTGCCAAAAGCACTAAGGAATACAATCAAACCTTGGTTGTCAAACGTAATTCGTTTCGGAAGCCCGTTAGGCTTCCAAAATGTTCGACAATGAAGGCGCAGCTTCCGACTGGTTGCAGGAGCTTCCTGCACTGAAGTGGAAGCTGCGTCAGACAGTTTGGCTTCCAAAAAAGTTCGAAAACCAGAGCATTTACTTCCAAGCTTTTGGCATTTGGGAGCTGAAACGTTCCAAAACGGAGGTGTTTGGGAGCCGAGGTTTGACTGTACCAGTGATCAGTAGGTGCTGCCACACCCATTAATGGGTTGCAAAGGTAAGGAGGCATTTTTGTGCCGCTAAAGTGGGGAGGGGACTTGTACATCCCTTCATTTGAGTGTCAGGAAGGGCAAAAATTGAGAGAAAGAGTGCTCCTCACTGATTCCCCAAAGGCCCCAAAGAATTCCCCAAAGAATGTTTTTCCATGCCAGTTTTTCTCTTCCCCCATTTTTGTTACACCCCTGCTCCCATGAATGTGCCCCAAAGCAGACGCACAAACATTTTGCACAGCCATACGATGGAGCCATCCATGAAAAACATCTGTCATTCATGTTCTCTGGTAGAGTGGAAACATTCTAACTCCAGTGCACAGTTCAGTAATCAGTATAACACCTTTATTAGAGCCTGCTAATACTCAGTGCTGACTTTTCTCTTATTTCCAAAGGGACAACTGCCATCCTGTCTTTATGCCAAGAGCCTTTGGTACAATCCAGAATTGGCTTTGCAGGTAGCAGGTTCTAACCTAACAATGTCTATGTTAGGCCTCCTGTTCTCCACCTTGTTATAAGCTGCAGGCTGCAGAGCTTTGTCATGGCCAGAAATATAATATTCCCTCGCCATTTTTTAAACGCAACATGTGTCCTGAAAAAGACAGGTGGGGAAATTGAAAGGTGGCTCATCAGAAATGGATGGAGCCATCCATTTCTAGTCTATGCAGTTTTTCTATGTGTTAATTCAATAATTCATTACACCCCATTTAAATATTAATATGTAGAAGTTTTCTTTTTTTTAAGAAAATCAGATGAAAAGTTACAATTGTATATTTTTGAACTTTTTAATAACAAAATATAAATTTCTCTCGAAATACGCATTTCTTAAAATTCCATCCCAAATAAATGCATTTTTATATGGTTCAGGAACCAAAAACCGCATTGAAAATTTGGAGAAGTTATCAGAATAAGGTCGTAACAACATCCTGGCTCTCACATTTTGATCCAGGAGGTGAAGTACAGCTTGCACCAGAATTCACAGAAATCGTATTCCTGAAGCATCACTACCTTTTGGTCATAATAAAGGCATTATATGACAATTACCCTTTGAATTCTCCCCCCTGCAGTTTGCATGGCTGTCAGTGAACTTGTAAGATGCCTCAGAAGTCTCCCTAGCATAAATATGCAAGCCACAACTAGACTCCTGTTGTGTTACAGCTGTCAAGGTCATACCAGCTGGAACAGACACAGGAAGCCGAGAGGAAGCTGCCAGCTTGGTCTAAGCTACCAGCATCGGAAATAGTGCATGCCAAGTGCATATGGTAGTTCTGTATGGGGGCATCTGTGCGTTTTACACTGAAGTGCTGAAAAGGATCGTGTTTAAGACACAAATTCTAAATAAAGATGTTTGGCTGTGTGGAGATTTCATATGGTGTGTTCTATTAACCTTCCTCTTTCCCAAGCGAAGGTTCCAGTAAGCCCTAGACACCAGAGGGATGCGTGCGTCAGGTGGGTCGTAAAGCTGGGGGGCTTCTGGGATAAAAAAAATGTGAGAAATAAATGGCCACCTGTCTTCTACATTATGCATTTGCAGAGGCTTCTTCCTCAAGGAAGTGGAATTGTTGTGACTCAGTTGATCTTGGCTGTGCTAGTGGTCCAGCTAATCAAAATCCCCGAGGTCAAATTTTGTGTGAACATTTATATGTGCTGTAATGAACTTAATGGAATATTAATGAGAACATGTATTAACACATCATTTATTTAGTGCCAACTTCTTACCAAGGTGCTTTGCAGAACACTCCTATTTGCATATGGTCCCTGCCCACTCGAGTTGCAAATATGGTCACAGAGGGGGAGAAATGGAGAGTACTAAGAGAGATAAAGGATGAGGGAGAAACAGGTAGAGGAGCTGTAGCAGAGAGCACTGGGATGAGTGAATTAATCATGGTGTGGGAAACGCTTTGCAAAAGCAGTGGATGTTGAAAGGCTTAAAGAAACAGGGGTGTAAATACAGTTCTGTGCACTGGAGTGAAGAGTACTGAAGAAGGCAAGGAGTCAGGAATGTAAGAAGTAAACAAAGGTGTTATCAGATTTAATCTCCGAACCAGAGAGGGCTTGATTCCTTCCCCTGCCCTATTATACTGAATCAAGGTATTTCAGAAGCAGAACCAGGCAGAATAATGAATGCATATGAAGGGGCAAGGCTAATGCAAGATAAACCTCATTAACACACTTCATTAAATCGTGCTGTATTTCCCCTCCTTTAGAGCACAATAGACTTACTTAATGGAAACAAAAGCCCTTAAAAATAGCCACACATGTTAAAGGATGGGTATGACTTTGTGAGTCTGGATAAATGTTTATTAGATGTCTGCTCCACCAGCATGAGTAAGATTTATAGGCTGGCAAGCTGAGTAGGAGGTAGCAGCTAGGTAATAGCTATAAATACTTGCTGCCTTTCTCAGGCATGAAGATGTGTGTGCACTAAGCTTAACACAAAGTATCCCAGGCTTTCTGTTGCTTCCACATGTTATTACTGTTATATTTTTTTATCTGTAAGGTAGTATTTCTCAAACGGTGCAGTGGGTCACCATTGGGGGTGAGTAATACATGGAGTTATTTGGCAGGGAGGATACAAACATTCAAAGAAAGATAGGATCTCGAAGCAAATGGATGAAGGCTCCCTCCTCTCAGCAACCAAAGACAAACGAATGACTGTCCCCCAGCAGCAGATTCTTATCGATTCACACTGGACTTGCAATGGTGACACTCGTCCTGTCATCCCGATCTGATTTTCAAGAGGGTTCCTTTATACAATGATACATTCCTGTATGTTGTTTTAGTTGGCATCATCCATGTCTTGTTATGTCATTTTTCTAATTCCATTGTTGGATTCGTGACCCAGTCCACAGATTTGTAAACGAAGCTGCATGCACTGAACCACATGCAAGGATTTCAACCTGGTCACCTGTGGAAGTGATGAGTGGGCCCTGTCAGGAGTTCAGCCTACACTCGAGTAGGACCCTGGCAGAGACACATGCCGGACTGGCATGTTCCCTCCCTCCTGGTTGATTGTTCAGGAGCTTCAAAAGCTTTCTTCAGCCCGAACATCACAGTGACCGATGCCAACCAACACCAGTACACTTAGGGATCCACAGAGTTTGCGCACCTTGCGTGACAGACCTCAGTAACTCAGCATTTTGGCTAATCTACTTAATTTACATATAAACACACACGGAGCACTGCAACATGTCTCCCTCTCTCTCTAGCATCAGACAGCAAAGAGAAAAAGGACAAAGGACAATAGTCCTACTTCATGGAACACAGTAACACAAACATCCTGTCTCCGTCACTTCCCACTCTGTGGAGTCAAAACATATAACGTCATGTGAAAACAAAAATCCCATGACTGCAGTCATGGATCAGGAATTCTAACAGGCCTCCTCAAGACGTAAGCTTAGGAGTGGGTGGAGCACCCAAGTCTTCAAAATATGGGAGACCTGCTGGATCAGGCCAAAGGCCCCTCTAGTCCATTATCCTGTTTTCACTGTGGCCAATCAGATGCCTCTAGGGAAAGCCTGCAAGCAGGGCATGAGTGCAATAGCCCCCTCCCAGCCACTGGTATTCAGAGATATGGTGCCTTCAATACTGGAGGTGCTTCATGACAATCATAACTAGTAGTCATATGAATTTATCTAAAATAAATACCATGGGGCAGTAAAGCAGCTGGAGGAGGAGAGGTAAAGAAATAGCTGTGAGTGGAGGGGCCCCCTCTTCCAATCCTTTGGACCCCCTGGGAAACTCAAACCTGCTGTACCTGGAACTGACCGTGAAGAGTGCAGCTGACTGGGACACAGCTGTGGGCAGCCTGAGGAAGTACCATCTACCTCAGGTTCACCCATAAAGGACATAGCTCAAGTGAGAGACTAGGGTGATGTCCAATGCTCCTAGGACCTCTTCTCGTTGTGAGACTTTTGTGGATGAGCTGAGAGTTTGTTTGGACCCGGAATGAAAACCCGGAGACTGAGAGGGAGGGTGTGTCAAAGGAAAATAAACTGATATGTGTGTGTAACGTTGTATTAATGAAGCACTTTTATATGTAAGTGTGTATTTTGTAATATTTTGTAAAGTTGTCTGTACACCACTTAAGTTTTTTTGTACACCCTTTAGAGATATTTTTAATATATTAAGCAGTACAGAAATGAACTAATCAATCAATCAATCAATAACCCACCAGTTGCTGGTCATCACCACATCTTGTAGTAATGACTTCCATAGTTTATGTGCTATGTCAAGAAGTCCTTCCTGGTGTCTGTACTGAGTCTTCCAAAAGTCAGCTTCATTGGATGGCTGCATGTTCTAGTACTATGAGAGAGGGGGAAAACCTTCCCTAGCCACAGCATGAATAATTTTATATACCTCTGTTATGTCCCCTCTTATTCACCCATTTTATGCACCACGAAACCTCAAACATTGCAACCTTTCCTCACAGGCAAATTACTTTAGCCTCTTGGTGGTTTTTGCTGAACCTTTCAGCCCCTTTTCCAGCTCTACAATATCTTTTCTGAGGGCCAGAACATGGTGTTCCAAGTATGGCCTCATGAGAGTTTGGACAAAGGTAGTATGACTTGAGATGTTTTATTTTTCATCCCTTCCCTAATGAAATTTGCCTTTTCACAGCTTCTGCAGACATGGTCAACATTTTCATTGAGCTATCCACCATGATCCCAACATCTCTTTCCTGGTCTCTCATCACCACTTCAGGTCCAATCATTGTATATGTGGATTTATGATTTATTTATGTCTGTTTCATGTGCTTCACTCTCCATTTGAATCCCATTGAATCCCATTTGGTATTTCAATGCCTATTTACTTTGGAGACATATCCTGATGGCTCTTTTTTGTTTTTACTGAAGTGTCATCAGCAAACTTGACTGCTTGTTGCTCACCCTTAACTCCAGTTCATTTATGAATAAGTTAAAAAGCTGCAGCCCTGATATATAGAACCTATTTCTTATGTCTGTCCATTGTGAGACGTGTTCGTTTATTTATGCTTCCTGCTCTTTAACAGTTTGTTGATCCATGAGAGTATCTGTCCTCTTATCCCATGTATTCTCAGTTTATTCATGAGCCTTTGAGAAGTACTGCAATAATGCCATTCCAGTCTTAGAAAAGTGCAGGGCTAGCATTGTATGTTCTCAAAGGCAGAACGATTTCTCCCCCTTATTATTGTTTTCTTCAGAGAAGGAGCTAAATGAAAATGTTGCTGTGGAACAAATGGAAAGCGGAAAGAATATACGGGAAAACAATCATGGAATTGTTTGCCTCTCTCCTACCTCCACCATGACGTAGAAACCATTTTGAACACTGAATAGCAGTAACTGTAAGACCTAACTTACAATAGGAGCCTCACTGTTACAGTATAAAGCACTTCATGGGGCTCTAAGTCCCAAATCACAGTGCCAGTTAAGGAACGGCCTTTTGTTTCAAAAGTTTTCCATGGCTTCGTTCGGCTTTACAAATAGGTCCATGAAAGCAGCTACCCCCCCAAAGTGGTTCCTGGCCTCTATACTGACATTTCCAATTGTGGTATGCGGTACATGGAACAGCCAGGAGAATCCACTTTCTTGCACAGAAGTAACGCTTTCTAGAACTAGCAGAGATTTCTAGATTGGTGAATGGCAGTAAGGTAAATGAACAGGAACAAATGCTTTGCTCTGTATTTGGGAATTTCAAATGTGTGTTTTAATAGTCACATAGTACCTTGCCTTCAAAAGAATCAAATTGGTCATACTTTTTTTTTAAAATATGAAATGCTCAGAATTCAAATATTGGGAATACACAAAGCAGTACGGCTTTGTATGCAGAATGTCCCTGGTCCAACCTCTGGCATCTCTAGGTAGAGCTAAGAGAGTTACCTGCCTGAAACCCTGGAGAGTCACTGCTTGTCAACAATACTGGAGCAATCTGGCTTTTGGTATAAGGCAGCTTCCCATGTTCCTACTGTATAAAGCAGTACCTCCTGCTTTTCTGTTTAAGCTTCACCCTCCTGGCGATATTAGATACAGGCTAAGCTTTGCAAACACCTTTCTACCTGTTACCACTCCAACCCTCCATTCAGATCTCACTGTGTAGGTCACACCATGAGGTGGCTAAAGCTGTCACCTCATAGTGGGTAGGATGTCATGATGTTAGACTACCATCTGCTTTGAAATATAGGCATTCCATGCCTCTGGAATCTCACCTATTTAGTGATTGCAGTGCTCACTCCCCCCCCCCCCCCGTTGTACATTGTGTCTGCTTAATGTGTACCTAATATTGGAGGTTATCTTCTAAAATTCCTTATTTACCACTCAGTGTTATTGGGAGTCGGCTATGTGGAACCCTCTAAATATAATAACACACATGCACACACATGTATAAGCTAAGGGCTGTTTTAGTCAAATGTTAATGGTGGCAGGTCTGTCACATGTCTCTCTGATGAATACAATGAGTGCATGTATTAATCCCTAAATATATATAGGCCTCAACCACATTGCCATTTCTAGGATTGCGTTTGGGTTATTAAAATATGTATAGGCCACTCTTCGTTGCCCACAAGGCATCCCAGAGTGGGTTAAGAACCAAGCTGTTTGGGATTTATTCTTATTAGAATGAGATTTAGTTGATATTATGCAAATATCCCCTCTCCCCGCCCCAATATAATTTTGAATGTAAGACTAATAGAGTTGGTTAATACTTCAAAGAAATGTGTAGCTATGGCGCTAGTGCCAGGAGTTGGCATAACTGGACAACCTACTGAGACCCACACCTTTGCAGGCGGTTCAGTGCCAAGAGTACCCTACAGATCCATTGCCACTTGCTCACTCCCCCTGCCCACCCTTCCTTTTCCTTGGTTTCTGGAAAGCTCAATAGCAGAAGAAGCAGAAATAACTGCTGCCTAGTCACTTGCCAGCTTCCTTCCTGGCAAGCAAGCAGGCACTATTAGTGAGGAGAAGCTGATGGCAAACGACCTCCTAAACCTAGAGCCCATGTCCACTTTCTAGAATTTATTTGCATCTACACAAAAGTGAGATTCTGGAGTAAAGGAAGGCTAGTACTTTATACAAGCCAGTGTGGCACTGAACAGAGTAACCAGCACAAAGTGCTCATGACAACTTTGTTGAAGCATTGCACCCAGTGCATGGACATCCAGTAGGCTTAGAGGTGAGAAGGACATTACCAGTTCGCATATAGGCTCCACAAACTCTAGAGTTTGATGCATACTCAAAAATAAGAACAAACAAGCATAGGCAATGGGTGCAGAAAAGTATCACTGTTGGCATCCATCTGTCTCAGGAGAGAATGGAGTGTGCCTCCAGGGGCAACGTCAAACCACTGACTTAGCAGCACTAAAGTGACCTCTGTGGGGCACAAGTATGGAGGTCTTGAGCGGCCCAGATGACAAGATCCCCCTCTCAGCCTCACTGATATGGTCCAAAGGAAAGCAGACCAATATGTCTGTCACCAGCTTGGCTATGGGAGATGCTGGAAGGAGGTGTACAAGGTGCCATCCAACCATCTCAGGGACTCCACTCCCGATTTGTGTAGGGTTTGCTTCTTCGACTTTTCTTCTCCTGAATATATCTCAGAAGGCAGTGGAGGTTTAGGAGTTTTTCTTATAGCTGGAAGGAGTTTTCCTTCATGCTGGCTGGGGCTGAGTCAAACAGCATCTGGAGAAGCAAAGGTTCCCCCTAGCTTTAAACCATCCATCTTGAGCTCAGTTTCAGTTCTCCAGCTGGTGGTACAGAAGCCCCAGAGGCCAGTACCTCCTGCAACAACTCTGAGCTTGAGGCCAGGGACATGACAGTTAGAGATGCAGGTACTGACTGACTACAAAACAGTGGTTTGTGGCAATCCTGTGATGCCACCCACAGTTTCTTTTGTGCACTCAAACACCACGCCAGTCCAACAACCACAGCATAGTCTTCACAATTCAGTCTCTATTTCCACCCCTCACACTGTAACTCACACTGTCTTTTACCTGGAAAAAATCCACAGAAATTGCTGGTGTCTCCTTCCAGGCAGCTAACACCACTTGTATGATGGGGGACACTACTGCTGACGCTCTGCCCCCGGAAGCTGCCATGTTGTACGTGGCAGAAAAGGGAGTGTTAGAAGGTTACCTTAGAAAGGGTGCAGTGTTCCCTTTCCTTGCACTATAATTCCAAAGTGGTGTTGCAAGAATGTGCATCTTTTCTGGAAATGAATTGCAAGTGCACAATAATTATGAGCCACTCTAAAAAAAAGAAAAAGGAAAAAAGGTCTTCCACCCCCCCAAAAAATTTGCATTTGGCCCTCGCTAGCAAATTTACAGTTCTAGCTGAGGAGGACAGGGTGGAATTTGCCAAACCTAATAATTATAGCTACTGTATTCAGGTTCAAGCTGCATATGACACTCATTTGTGTGGTTCTTTACATTATCTGTTTAATAAAAGAAAAGTGTTTGAGAACCAGAAGATAAGTGAGAGGAAAGGAGATCTGTAACTTTCCCCCCTCTTGTCATTTGTCATTGATTCTGGTCCTGGACCTTAGCTTTAATTAAGTTCTGGGAGACTTCCTTTACCCAACTCCCTTTTTTTGCAATAGCAATGAAATAGAAGTGTGGATATTATTTGGGCACTTCCAATGCTTGCTTATTGGTTTCATGGAGATTCTTCTCTCTACTAATTGCCATGAATACAAAAAAGTCCATAGCAGTTCTGTTTTTATTAATCCAAAGTAAATTGGCTTGACTTTATGTACATGACTGTTTTGAAAGGGAGAACTTGTTCTGTTGCTATTTTTACAAAAAAATCTTTAAGAAGTTAGATAGGGTCCCCCCCCCTTGTTGCTTTTCTGATTAATCATCCTGTGCTGTGCATGGTACAGTAGATCACACAGTGGTCCACAACGCATGTAACGCTTACCACAAGGAAGTCATTGAAAATGGCATTGCTACTGTGTGAGTGACCCCTGTGGGGAACTGTAACATGTGCTCTGACTAGTGGCAAGGTGAAAACAGCTGGGTGCGCACAAACAGATCACTCCATGGGGAATACTCCATGTGGCTTCTTTAAAAGGAGCCACAGCACAGCTGCTTATTCTGTGTGATCAGGCTTGAGAGTGAGCGAGCGTAATAATGGGGCAGCTTATCTGAGGTGCCTGCTCAGCATTTGTCCCTATTGATTCCTTATTGCAAATGCCGGGAGTTTAAATTGGCTGCTGGAGCTATACCCTGCACATTTCTGCTACAATGCTAACCGTGAGCATGCGCAGCACCAGTCCTCAACTGACTGTGGAGGTGGGGGGGGAGAGGAGTACCACATCGCGGTCTTCTAGCTCCGAGCTGCCAGTTCCTGGTTGCCAAGCAGTTATTGTTTCTGTGACGATTGCGGAGGCTGTTGCTAATTGAAGAAGCCTTCTCAGCATCCTCCTTTCTCCTCTTTCACTCTCCTCATTTAAATTTTAGAGGCAGAAAGAACAGAGAAAGAGAGAAGGGGGTAGAGATTAAGGGTGGTATATATTTTGGTGGTATTAAATTTTTAATTGGGAAGGAGAAGAGAGCCGCTCTCTCAGCTGGTGATTAAGTGATGGGCTAGTTACTCATCTGTATTCCTTTAGCTTTTGTGACTCGAAACACTTGCACAGTTGAACGCACACACGCACACACATTCTCTCTCTCTCTCTCTCTCATGCACGCACACTCAAGCAACCACATACACACAGACCTGTGAAATCCTGTTTGCCACTGCAGTGGGCACAAGTAGGTGAACATGACAACAGCTAAGGAGCAAAGTGCTTCAGGGAAATCAGTCCAGCAACAAGAACAGGTAATGCTGTTGACTTTCTTTTGAGCAGCGTAGAGATTTGTATGCCTCTTGGTTTGTTTGTTTGCTTGCTTGCTAGCTTTTCATTTATGGCAGTGGGTGACTAATATTTCTATACAAGTCACCAAGACAGTGCTGTTTTCTACTTATTCTGTTATGTGCCTATTCTCTATAAATAAGAGTGTGTGTGTGTGTGTGTGTGTGTGTGTGTGTGTGTTAATATGATGCCTCTAGCCCCATGTTATGTGTAGAGCAGGCGCATTTTGTGCAGGACCTTACTGGGTATTTTGTGTTTAACTGTATGCTGCCAGGCGGGACAAAGGGTGGGGAGAGGGTCTCTTCCTGTTAGAATCAACCCAGTTCTGCATCTGCAGCTTGCTAACAAGGGTAGACATCCTAACTACTTTATTTCTCCTTTCCCCAAGTTGTGCCTGGACTAACGAAAGCAGATTTTCCATGCATTCCTTGTACCTGTAAAGCCACCATCTAGCATTGTTGTTTCTGTTCAAGAATGAAGTGTGAGCAACTATCGAGATACCCTGTTCCAATCATGGTCCAAATTTAATTAAGCTTTTCTTAATGGGAAATCACGGACTATTTAAGCCATCCTGAATACCTACCTACATTCTATATTTGTCTTCATACACTTAGCAGGGCTGCCACATCCCCACTCCCTGGCTTCTCATGTATAGAGATACAGCAACCCTGACACACTGGAATTTAGCAGGTGAACCTTCTCCTTCCTTCCCTTTGCTATTTAGCTTCATGGCAGCTGTTTAATTTGGGTACGCCTGGGCCATTGTTAAATGCACAGGAGAAAGGCCAGTTACAGAAGAAGAAGAAGTCGTCAGACCTAAGAATCGCCTCCATATACTTGTACCAGCAGATGGATGATTGTTTTTTCTGGTCCAGTTCATAAAATGAGTATTTCTCAGCTTGACTTCTTGACTCAATTGAAACAACTTTCACTGCTGGTAAAGCAACAGCCACTTCATTGGTCCTGAGTAATAGGCAAGGATAAGGATAGCTGACATATAGGAAAAGATTGCTAAGACACCTGAGATGCAGCTGAACATTGCAAACATTTCAGAGGGGCCTTCTATACAGCAGCAGAACAGAGTAGAGTTTCCTCTCCTCCCCCATTAAGCCCTTACATCCCTCCCTGTGTTCACATGTAGCACAGTCTCCACTGGAAACTGAAGGATTAACCCATCTGTTCCAGGTTTCACATTGTTACATTTTCACTGATCGTGTTCAGATGTACAGTAAGGCATAAACCATGGTTTAGCACCAAGATGGTGGAACCTGCAGCCTTCCAGACGTTGTTGGACTTCCATGAGCCTAGTCCACCCTCCCCTGATTTTGCATACTCCCCCTACCCTCTCCTGTGCAAAGGGATCAGAAGCGGTTTAGGTTAACCACAGTTTGACCTGTCATCCAAAGTCTGAACTGTGGTTATCTTTAACTACGGTTTGTTGAAATAAGCCAGCTTCAGAAACTATGGCTTGAAGTTGGCTTGCTTCAATTAATCAGCATTAAGATTAAGCCACACTTTGTCTGGGTTCACAAATTGCAGTTAACTTAAAATGGGATTCTAAGTTTACAAACTCTTCCTTGAGGCTGCACTGCAGGAGGCGTGGGGGGGGCACATGAGCCCCAGGCTCATTGCAGCTCACTCTTGTAATGTTAAAACATAGTTTAGGGTTACGTCTGAACCAGCACTTCGTCACTGAGATTACAATGCTGCTTTAGTCATTGACTAGGATAGCACAGGGGACCAATTAAAATAGATCTCCCCAGACACAAATTAATTCTTAACATAGTTTTCTTCTGGTGATATGCTGAGAGTTGCAATCTTTTCTTTTCTTCTCTCTCTCTCTCTCTCTTTGTCCCTCAAATGTATATGTCTGTATTTGAAGGTAGGCTGGAAAGGCAGATGGTTGGATCCTCATTAGGTGCAGTGCAATCAGAAATAGCACACAAGGACCTGACTTTTCAGGGTGACATTTTATTGAAGCAAAAAGCTTTATCAGCTTTTTTGCTTTAGTGGGAAGCAATCCTCCTCCACCATCCCTGTCGCACTTTTGTTTCTCTGAAATTCCACCTTTCATTTAAACAAACAAAAAAACTTCCATTGACTTTTTTGCTCTCTTTTAAAATATTGTTTCTTTGTACATCAGGCTTGCTGTTAGATCAAGCGTGCTGAAAATCTTGAAATTAAGATTATTATTTTTGTCAACAACAGGCAAAGGGCCTTGGACTGTGAGGTTTTGTTTTGTTTTTGTTTTGCAACATTTCTTTAACCTCCTGCTGCTTAATGGGCCCTCTCTCCTACTGCTAAAAGCTTTGTGAATAAGCTGCCACCTAAAGTGACTCAAATGAAATAACATTTGCATCATTCATGGACTTTGCCTGTGTGCCCTTCACTTTAGATTTCGCCTCATTTCTGTTATACACGCTGAAGAATTCTGTGTCTGTGCAAAGCTTCCATATGCTAACAGGAAGCAGGAGTTGGTTCAATCCTTGAGATCGCTCATCCTGTTTCCATGGCAGTGAAATGGTGTGTAGGCCTTCTTGTGAGAGTTCTGGTTTAAGAAATAGGCAGCCAACCCCCGCTCCTTTATGTAAGTTGCTGTTCTTATATAAAGGAAGCTGGTCTCTCTATATTTCTAAACAGACCAAAAACTGTATTTCTGTAAGGGCGGATCTTTCCCAGACTCATTCCCAGATTCAGACTGCAACCCTGTGCATTATTTTAATGTCTCACATTTTATTATTATTTTTTATATTTTGCTGGAAGCCGTCCAGAGTGGCTGAGGAAACCCAGCCAGATGGGCGGGGTATAAACAATTAAGTTGTTGTTGTTGTTGTTGTTGCTTTACTTGGAAATCCTATTGAAATCATTGAGATTTACTTCCAAGTAAATATGTATGGGATTTGGATGCAAAAGAGAGATGCTGTTGAAATTCTTAAACGAAAACTGTTTACCGAGCAACTGAGAAATTGTACTGTAATGTTCCAAGTAAAAGTACTGATAGTTATACTCTCTCAGCTATGATGTTACTGTCACATAATTATGTCAAACAAACATACAAATAAACTAAGCATTAGCCCTTAGTAAGAGTTGAGAGCCCCATTTCCCAGTATTCACATCTTCTTTTTGGGATATTCCCCCTTCATGAAAAAAAAAGCAAAGATTAAATATATATATATATTGAATGGTATTATACTTTAGAAGTCATTTGTAGTGGTCTACAGTTCAATGTTTTCATGTGGATTTGTGCTTGTGTGTGTCTATGTGATTGGGGGGAGGATAGATCTGGTATTAAAGTAATGGCACTCTCCCCTTACATAGAAATTAATTGAGAAGAAATTGCCTGTCATGCAATGGGAGTACTTCTGTAACTGTGCTGAAGATTATGCCTACTTTAG